AAAAATTAAAATATCATCTTAATCCGTATTATTTTGCTTCAAGTCTAAATATTTCCGTTTTGCATAATGTTGATTATTTTCATATCAAATAATTTCCTTTACTTTGCAGTGTTAAACATCAATATTATGGATGCAAATAAAATATCATTTCTCAATCAGATTATTGGTTTACTTCCTGATTGTATTTGTCTTGATGTCAAACGTTATATCGCTTGCCAATTCGCTTTGGAGAGTGACTTTGGAGAATCGCCTATGGCGTTATGTTTAAATAACTATTGTGGTATGAAAGTAGCTAAGTTAAGGATAACCCTTGCTATGAATCTTGATGAGGTTCTTAAATTTGCAAAATATTCTGGTATCTATTCTTGTGTTCTGGATTATCTGCTTTGGCTTCAATCCAATAGATTTACAAGGCAAGAACTTAATACCTTAGAGTTATTTATTAAGCATTTGTATTTGTCTCGGTATTGTCCTGAGCCTGGTTACGAAAACAAGATTAACACCCTTTATAAACAATATTATGAGTAAACAAGAACAAGAAAACCTGATTAAAGACGCTCGAGGTTTTGCCAAATGGCTTTCAGTAGACGTTGAAGTTAAAATCTTTGGTGTAACAATTCTACACTTTCATTATCCACCTCAAAACAAGTAATTATGATTCTTAACCTTTTTAAAAAAGAGCCTCATGAGTCAAAAGTGACTTTTAATTCATCCGTTGTTTTGTTGCAGCCTGTTCAAGTTGCTGACAAAAATGGTAACGTTTTAAAGCGTTCAGAGTTTAAGCCTTTTGATATTGCTGAATCTCTTTCTCCTTTTAAGAGTTCAGATTTCTCTATTTCATCTTTGGAGAGTGTTGGTGCCTTATCAAAGTTGACTACTACGTATATGTCCTCTATGCACGACATGAATATTGCAGATAAATTTGAAAATTACCAAATTCCTGTTGAAAATGTTTAAAAATTTAAAACTTAGACGTAGATTAAAAAAAGACGGCACTTTTGTTGATGTCGAGTATCTTCTTTACCTGAATAATCAGGAACCTATATCTTTTCCTTCTCAGGCAGATTGTCTGGAGTATATTAAAGACTTCCGTTCTGAGAATGTTATCTTTAA